GCTTGAAAATAAGAATAATATGAATGTAAACATGATTACCATGTTCATATCTTATATATAAAGCTGAATATCTGTTTGTATGTATGTCTGTCTGTCTGTATGTCTGTCTGTCTGTGTGTACGTATGTTCCGAATAGAAAATTCCATTTCTGAACCGATCCGGACCAAACTTGGCACACATACACATCGGGCCCCGGCGGGTGTCATAGGCTACTTTTCGTCATCGATCGATATCGATTTTATCGATTTTTATCGATTTTTTTGCTGAGTTCACCTACGGGGCTGGGAGTTGGCACAGGGGGGTAAGTGAGCATGGGGATTCCGAATACAATATTGGTTTTTAAAATCGTGCATTACTTTTATCGATTTTATCGATTTTTTTGCAAAGTTTGAGCTACGGGGCTGGGAGTTCGCACAGGGGGGTGATCAGCATGCTCGATTACACTCCTGTGCCAAATTCCAGCCCCCTAGCTCAAATTTTCAAAAAATCGATAAAATCGAAAAAGTAATGGACGATCCTGAAAACTAATATTGTGTTCGTAATCTGCATGCTCGATTACCCCCCTGTGCAAACTCCCAGCCCCGCAGGTCAAACTTTACAAAAAAAATCGATAAAATCGATAAAAGTAATGGACGATCCTGAAAACTAATGTTGTATTCGGAATCCCCATGCTCACTTCGCCCCCTGTGCCAACTCCTAGCCCTGTAAGTGAACTCTGCAAAAAAATCGATAAAAATCGGTAAAATCGACATCGATCGATAACGAAAAGTGGACTGTGACACCCGCCAGGGCCCGAAGTGTATGTGTGCCAAGTTTGGTCCGGATACGGCGGAGCCGGGTAAGCCAGCTAGTATTTTATATAGTGCTAAATTGTTTTCAGCAATCTTTATAATGCAAACGCGGGGTGGAACATAAACTCAAATCTACGTCAGAGGGTGAAGACGAAATCAACAACAACTTGTAAGTAATACTTCAAAATTACGAAATGTCGCCTCCTACATCTTTTAGAGATTCTGGAAAAGGGGAATAAGAAAATTTAAGTGTGAGCCGCACACATTAGCAGCCATGGTTTGCTCAGCTAGCAAGCCACAAACGATCACCAATATCGGTAGTTGTGCAGTTCAAGTATATTGCGCTGTGACCCCTTCAATTTATATTGTTTAGAGAAGCAATTACGAAACTCCAGCTCATCATCAAAGAAAAGAAAACACTGCCTGCCGGAGATATACAAGAATATGGGAAATTGATTAAGGAGTTAAACAATAAAAACGACTACACGATGGTGGAATATCACCAAGATCGCAGTAGACAGCAAACAGCGCCTAGACGTGACGAAAGGACCTCGGGGCACGCTATCGTAGGTTTAGGTGAAAATTTTCTTATCCAAGAATGTTTTTACATTGATACCCAGAATTACGAAGACTAGCGAAATAGATACGGATGGGCTGCACATTAAGATAAAAAATACAAGATTAACTTTGAAGCTTTTGCAGCTCCAAATCGAGCTTGCCCGACTTCTCAATATACCCGCTTGGGAAACGTAAAATTGAGATTGCAAATAGATAATGAGCTGAAAGGAAATGATTGCAGCGAAGGTTTTGATAACTAGCCTATCTTTGTGTACTTGTTCGCCATCAGGACCTTTTCTGAAGCATTCGCATGAAATACTAACTTAATCTTAAGATTTTTTATGGATTGTGAGACTGCATATTCCCCGCTTATCAGGAGAAAAGCGGTGAAAATTTGGACAACGGTAGAGTGCCTTTTATCAAAATTGTGTACGGAAATGATTTTCGCTTTTCTGGTTTATCAGCTTTTCTGCATCTGAAGATTTAGTATTGTTTTTTATAACTTACTATAAAAAACTTCCAGTGAAAGTGAAGTTTACATTGTGTTACTTCTGACAAAAGTGCACTAGGACACTCAGAAAAAATTTTTTACATAGTTATTCGTTATTATCCAACAAATTAGCGCTCTACCAGTTGAGGAGTAGGCCTTTCCTCAACTTCAACTTCCTCCTGCTCTGGCGGTTTGAACTCCTCTATATCCCAATTGTGAATGCACGTCAACGACCTTGCATCTTTAACATAAAGAAAAGCTTACGGCAGTATCTTCCATTAGCCCTTGAGGAGCCCAGTGGCCAATTTGATAGGGAGCGAGCTGCGCATATCGTATCGATTTCTGACGAGAAGTTTTATTACATGGCTTTCAATGAGATACGTTTTACCTGCTTGAGTAGAAGGATTTTGACGCCTTAATCAGGAACGACTCAGGGGCATAAGCTGAATCGCCTATCAGGCAGCCAAGATTCTGACCGTTCGTCATAGCCTGATAGAGTCGAGATTCAACAAATACCCGACTATCGTGCGCCGATTTAAGGGACAACGCATTGATCCACCGAAATCTCAATTTGTGGCCACATATTAGTCCGACGTTTATCAAATGGTATTGTTTACTATTGATGTAATCGGCCTCATCTTCATGAGGTGCGATTCTGCGTCCCATCGATAAAACCCATAATGCTTGGTAGATTGTGGGACTCGAACACGTCCGTATTTATGTGTCTTTGCTCCTCCTCTGCTCTAGGCCAGTAACATTTTCAGCAGCATGTAGACAGAACGCTTCATTTGTGAGAATTCGGCTGATGGTAAATTGGTCACAACCGGCCACGCGCCGAGTCTCTTTGTCTGATGTATCTCCTCAGCAATTTGGTACATATCGCGATTTACTGGGGGATGGAGTGGCTGCGATCGTAGTTTGACCGTCCAAAATTGTTTTTGACTAGATCACAAATTTTGTAAAAAACTCTTTTGCTGAAACGAAAATCCTTTTCAAAAGCGATTTCATTAGACATAAGAAAGGCATCGCCCTTTCCGGGAATATGCGATGTCTTGATTATCCCACGTCCGTTTCATCGTCCTCTTCCTGACCTTTCACCACATCCGTTTCTTGTTCCTCTCTTCGCATTACGTCCCCTTTTTCTTCCTCTTCATATTCTTATCTAGATTCTATTGTTCAAATCCCTTTAAAGTCGTCTGCCCACGACTTTTCCTCTTAGGAAGTAGAGAGTTTTTCCATGAGCTTTTCATCAGATATACAGGGATGGTTCAGTCATCTAGAAAGACATTATTAATGTTGGAATGGTAACATAAGCAAGGATACGTTTTATTTTCACAAAAAACCAAACTCATTGTTCTAACAATGATATTCATGAAATCATGGCTTATAATAAAGCGCCACGCGTCTGTATTTTTGTGCGTGTGTGTATGTCTGTCTGTCACAAAATTCATGGAGATAGCTGCAGCCAAGCTACCGAGCTAAAATCAAGTCCACTCAAGGCTCAGCATAGGTGGCGTTTTCACAAGCTGGCAATGCGGAACCCATAGTTTCACCTCCGCAACCTGATGAAATATTTGAAAACACTAACTCTCTCTTGGCAAGGTCGAATTGAAGGTCTAAGGAAATCTCAACAGTGACAGGTGAATTAACACGTTTCAAATACAGCGCGCAAACCTGTGTGCACACGACTTTAACTTGTCAAAAACACAATCAACAAATATAAAAATGTTAACAGTCTTGTTTACAACAAGTAAGCAGTATTTAGCCACTAAATTTGGTGTGTACAGTCGTGGTCAATACGCATTGGGCTTTCCTACCGTATCCCGAAAATCGTTCATCCGCCGCGCACCGTGCCGCTCAGGCCGCGCGACGCGCTGCCTGAGCATCATCGCTGGCGCGTAGCCAAGTGAACAGCTGACATGGCGTCTCCCTCATTTCTTTTGGTTTTTACTATTTTGACTACTTTTTTTTGAGATTTTGATATAGCCATATGAACAAGTGTCCAACTCTCGAGCATAGTGGTCATTCCCTTTCAAGAGAGATATGTTAGGATCCAGCTCATGAAGTTTTTGAAGAAATTTGGTGATGATAGGTGAGCTACTATCTTCTCACTAGTTTAGGCTTACTCCCACGAACGCTTTATAATTTTAGCATGTGTTTTTTAGTTGATTACTTCCAAGGAGTCCTTTTTCTTGTTCTTTTCAGGAGATACTTTTATACCTATTCTTTCAAAGCGTATTTGTAAGTTATTTCGTTTTAAATGGAGTGCCTCTGTTGGTTGCATTCTTTTCTTTGCAATCAATATCTCATCGCTTTTTCCGGGCATCTTCACAGCAGGCTGCATGTTTGTGTGTATGCATCTATGCGTGAGGTACAAAAATGCAAGTGGGTGGAGTAGCTCCGCCACTTTTGGAAAGCCCCGCCTACTTTCCAAAAATGCTGGAAATTGCTCAAAATCAATGAATTCGTGAAAATTCCGGCATTTTTGAAAAGTGGGCGGAGCTTGCCACTCAGGGGGTGGGACCTGCATGATGGGCGACGGGGTCAAAATTAAGATTGTTTAAGGTTTCCCAGTCATCTACGAGCTTTTCTATGCGATTTGAGAACGAAAAAAGTTTTTTGTAGAGGGCAACAGAGTGGGCAGAGTTTGCCAAAAGAGGAGCGGGATCAACATGAAAAACTTCTGAGCCTAAACTGATTATGTGAACACAAATTGGAACCATTGTGCACATTAGAACTGGTATTTAGAGTGTCGCGCACCATTGCGCGACATCGTCCACACGGACAGACTGCCTGTCGCGCACCACTGCGCGACACTGTCGTCAACGTGTTAAGAATGGAAATCGTATTTCACCTTTCTGCTTACCTCATTGGTATTCCTGGAAGTGCATGCGTTTTTGTGGCAACATTCGGGCGATTCTAGCTATCTAAAGTGTCACTTGGGAGGATTCTGACGAAGAATCAGTCCCAAACGTCATGTAAATCGACTTTTACCTAGATAAGCTTCTACCATAGGTGGTCACAGCTCACGAAGCTCTTTGCATATAAAATTTAAACGATTTATTAGTCTTTTTTGGGGTTAACTCAATGGATAGTACGGTGCTATCTTCTAGATCCCTTGCCATGCTGTCACTCTTGCTTGCATTTCTTCGAACGTTGCAATGACGACTGGAATGGGTATGTTGACCACAGGAAACGCGAAAGCAATTATTGCTGGTGGTGTAGAACTTTTATCGGATGTTCCCATTGGGTATAACAGAAAGGTATGTATTTCAAATTAATGGTTATCGACGTAAACTGATTTGTTCTAGGCGAGAAGAGCTATGCTGAGCATGCAGAAAGCGAAGGCACTTGGCGACAGAGTGAAGCTTGGTGAATATTGCAAAGAATTGCTCATATCTTTGTTGCTTTTATGTTTTAACATTCCAGCTCTATATTGTAGGAACTCAAATTGTGAGAAACCTTTTCAGCCCCGAACTAACAGCAGTAGCAGAATATTCCAGTGGAGAGAAACTGGGACACAGTGGGGATCGAGAATGCTGCAGCATTCAGCGTTTCCAGGAGGTTAGTGTAATCTGTGTCTGAATTTTTGGTTTCAGAGTTCATTCTTGTGATTATAATTACTTTCCACTACTTGTTGTAGAAGTTGTTGCATTCACGGTAGTTCAATTTATTTTGTGGTATTATTTTTTCCATCTACGTATTTCTAAAGCCCATTCAATCTGCTATGATCATATGGATTGATTGTCGATTGTCGATTATTGTCTCATCTGTATCAAGTTGAGAGCCGCCATTTTTAGAAACCTATGCTGAAATACAAACTGTACAGTAAATTTCCATGGTCATCTCCAGCTTGATGATTTAGGGAGCAAGATGAGTTCGCACTGCGATCCCACAACTTGGCAAAGGCTCAACAGATAAACTTAAAGACGTTATCCCAGTTTCCTAACGGAAAGAAACCACAAACGATCAATGTAGCCTTCGAAGATGACTTTATAATTGTGATATCTGGTTGATTCCGACTGACAATGGCATTCGCGTGTCAACCATGAAGAAAATGGCGTCATTAAAGCCAGTATTCATAAAGGCCCGTGGGACCACCCCAGCCGGTAAAAACACATCCCGTTTGTGATGCTTTTTATAGGAACTATTCAGCTAACCCTTTGTTCTTGACTACCGAAGCTTCCGCATGATTGATCACCACCGAAGATTTTGCTCTTGCTAACACTCATAGACCTCTTGCCTATCTCCGACAATGCCAGTACGTTGCGCAAGACCCTAAAGATCAACTTCTTCTTTCACCAGCTTACGTCATCCCACAGTTGCTGAAGCGGGTACGCTTTAAAATCCTCTACTTAGCTTTTTGCAGACAATCTTACTCCCACTTCACAGGTTGGACTCGGATTGAATGACGTTGATGTTTTCGAGATTCACGAAGCTTTTGCAAGACAAGTATTGGCTAATGTTGCTGTGAACTGACATTTTTGCGTTCCTTGGAGGAATCGCCAAATGATGGGAGATGAATGATCCGGTACTCTACTTGTTACTGTTTATACACTGTTTTTTTAAATTTTTTTATTGGTTTTTATTTGTTTATTTTATTATTTTTTTTATTTTTATTTGTTTTTTTGGTTTTTAGTTGTTTCTTTTTTTAGTTTCCAAATATTTTTTCTTAAATTTCTAATTTTCATTGTTTCAGCTCTGCACGTTTGTTGGGAAGACGCTTGCTTGTTAGATTGATTGGAATGGAAGGGTCGCTAAGTCCGTTTCCACATCTGCTGAAATGCATTCAATACTTGATACCTATTGGCTTAATGTTTCTGTCCTAATGTAATGAATAAAAATCAATAAATAAATGTGGTTGTTTCCATCGAAAAAATTCAACAAATGGTAGGGTGAAGTACCTGCGTCAAGCCTAACTATAGTCTGAAACTTGAATGTTCTCATACGATCTTTCAACTTCAGTACTGGTGTTGGCAATTTTGCCATCGCGACTTCAAGAATGGTGAGCTTGTCGCTATTCAATGGAAAAGCGTAGAGGCCATCGTTTTTTTGCGTAACATAAGCGGTGTGTGTAGTGTGTGTGTAGTGTGTGTAGTGTGTGTAGTGTGTGTATAGCGTGTAGTGTAGTGTGTAGTGTGTGTGTAGTGTAGTGTGTGTAGTGTAGTGTGTGTAGTGTAGTGTGTGTAGTGTGTGTTTAGTGTGTGTGTAGTGTGTGTAGTGTGTGTGTAGTGTGTGTGTAGTGTGTGTAGTGTGTGTAGTGTGTAGTGTGTGTGTAGCGTAGTGTGTAGTGTAGTGTGTGTAGTGTGTGTGTAGTGTGTGTGTAGTGTGTGTAGTGTGTGTAGTGTGTAGTGTGTGTGTAGTGTGTGTAGTGTAGTGTGTGTGTAGTGTGTGTGTAGTTATGTAGTGTGTGTAGTGTGTAGTGTGTGTGTAGCGTAGTGTGTGTAGTGTAGTGTGTGTAGTGTAGTGTGTGTAGTGTGTGTAGTGTGTGTAGTGTGTGTAGTGTGTGTAGTGTGTAGTGTGTAGTGTGTGTGTAGTGTGTGTAGTGTAGTGTGTGTAGCGTAGTGTGTGTGTAGTGTGTGTAGTGTGTGTAGTGTGTGTATAGCGTGTAGTGTAGTGTGTAGTGTGTGTGTAGTGTAGTGTGTGTAGTGTAGTGTGTGTAGTGTAGTGTGTGTAGTGTGTGTATAGCGTGTAGTGTAGTGTGTAGTGTGTTTGTAGTGTAGTGTGTGTTGTGTGTAGTGTGTGTAGTGTGTGTAGTGTGTAGTGTGTGTAGTGTGTGTAGTGTAGTGTGTGTAGTGTAATGTGTGTGTAGTGTGTGTAGTGTGTGTGTAGTGTGTGTAGTGTGTGTGTAGTGTGTGTAGTGTGTGTAGTGTGTGGTGTGTGTAGTGTGTAGTGTAGTGTGTGTAGTGTAGTGTGTGTAGTGTGTGTATAGCGTGTAGTGTAGTGTGTAGTGTGTAGATATGGGTATGGGTGTGGGTGTGGGTGTGGGTGAGGGTGTGGGTGTGGGTGTGGGTGTGGATATGGGTGTGGATATGGGTGTAGGTGTGAGTGAGGGTGTGGGTGTGGGTGTGGATATGGGTGTGGATATGGGTGGATTGAATAGTGTAGAGTGAATAATTACTACATCAAATACTCTGAAGAGACTTGTACCGGACAGAAGCAAATGACATTTTTCATCTCTAACTCCCACACTGGATACGCCACATTTATAGGTGTACTAAAATTTCAGCATGCTCAAGAATCCGCTGGAAAGCAACATCCTGTAAATATTCCTGTAGATCAACTGATTTCTGTGAATCAAGTAATCCATGTCAATAAAAGTATTCCTGACCAACTAATCCCTGTGAATCAACATATTCCTATACATCAGTATAATCTTGCGAACCAACCAATTCTTGTGAATCAAGCATATCTGAATCAGCAATCCATCTACGGCAGTCGTTTGGTAAGTTAACTCTACACATAAAAAAAATATTATATCTGATCCGCTTTTATTAGCTTCTTGCGCAACAGCAGTCCGAAGCAGCGCCTCTCATTGCCGTAAGATTTTCAGCGTTTTTAAACAAGGTGACATATCCTAAAAATAACTTCCAGAATAACATCGAGCCAGCATTAACCAATCGTCGTCCAGTGCAAGGGTATATAAATCCTTTTCTTAGAATGATGTCTATAAAGGGCTTTTGCAGTTCCGTACCCCGAATATCCGCGCGACAGCTGCTCGCCTTCGTAGAATTCCGGTAAATCGAAAAACGATAATAAGGATATAAAGCGTATTTATTTAGTCTGTACAGCGCGTCCCAGACATTAAGAGAATTGCGGCGCACCTCCGCACTGCTGCAGTAAGTCTCAAAGTCTCAAAAGTCTCAAAAGTCTTAGTTCTATTCTAATTATAGTCTCAAAAGCAAACCGTTCTGAATAAACAAACTGTTCTTGTTTTCCTAGCATACGCCGGGTCTTTACTATACTTATTAACGCATTCATGACAAGGCCAATTTTTCGATTACTGCCGTTTCGGACCAGAGCCTTTTTTACTTTGTCAAAGTTATCCGAAATGGTAGTCTTTTTGGAAGAAATTTAATACATGCCTCTGAGAAATTCCCCACAAGGGTTATCGAAGGCTTTAATTACCAGAATATTGTTTATTTCAGTTTTTGGCGGTATACGGTAAGGTTACGCTACATTCTGTACGACCCAACAACATTGATTTTTATTGAAAAATTGTGTTTTGGGGTTATTTCACGTGCTGAGCATGATTATAATGTTCACTATGTTCACTACTTTCCCACAGCGGACTACGGTAGCAATACGGTAGATTTTCGTTAAAAATTAAGTGACTGATGTAAGAAGGCGGTATTAGAACATGAGACTATCATCTTCGTAATCAGCACGCTAAAAAACCTATATAAGGATTGAGCTTCCTGGGATGAACCACAAAAAATCAATGAAATCAACAAAATCGATAATTCTTGAAGGGCTGACATCAGTCTCGTGCCCTCCCCGTACTTCTCGAGCATGTAAGCTTGAATTTGCAAAAACAGCACCACTCTGTGATAAATTTTAGCTAAAGTCTGTGCCTTACCTCTATCTACGGTATACCTACCGTAACATCACATTACAATATCCCGAACCCGAGCCACTCTAAATGGAGCTTCGCCAAGGCGTCCCTAATCATGTGCCAGAACTCCGTAGAATTCCATCGTATACTGGCAAAGCTAGATCAGGAATCTTACGACCCACCGGTGGGTAGGTCTTATTGTCCGAAACGACAGAACACGTACGACCCACTGGTGTGTCGTATTGTCGTGAATGTGTTGATAAACAAATTGACTAAAGCCTACTAATCAATTAATGCAGTGTTTATCCTCAGCGGCGAGAATTTTGTGCAACCGTTCCGCAGGCATACAGGGATATCCCAGCCAAAAAACGGTATTATAACCAGAATCAACCAAGAGATCAGGCAGATACGGCAAATACGGCTTTCGGCAATAGTTGAGCATCAGAAATGCAGCAGGATTAGCAAATGGCAGAGCTATTTTGGAATTCAGGACTCAGCTCTTGAATCAGTGGAATCTTCTCTCATAAAAAAGGATCTACTCCTTTAGAATGCAGATTCCAAAAAACTTTACAAGTTAATCTGTCGTCACTCGACTATTTTGAGGGAAACCGATAACTTTGTCAGTGAAGTACGATAATTTATTTGCTGAATCGAAATCCGGATTCAAGCACTGAGACAGACACTCATGTAGTGTAACAAAGAAGAGAAACAGCAACCTTCTACGAGCGATGGATTAGTAAATCTTGTAATAGTAATGGGAATGATGCTCACGTAGGGAAATGAGTTATGATAAACACGTGAATGAAAAGAACTAGTATATTTGGCTATAATGAAAGAAAAGAATACGTGTCAGCAATCTTAACTGCAGATATGACTGCGGGTAACTGACTAACGTTTCCAGTCCACAACCTTAAACAGATCGAATCATGCATAGTCCAAGGAAATATGAGTATAAGTACCTGTTTTGTGATCTTTGAACAAGCCTCTCTCTTCAGTATCATTGCGACACTTTCACAAAGAACAGAAGTGATAATGTTCTGAATCGTCATCATAAATGTCAATTTACTGATACAGCAGTTCATCATAACTTACCAAATTCTTTCACTCTGCATTCTCTTCGACCTGACAACTCGTAAGGTTTTCGGAGTGCATCATCAGGAAAAAAACCACAATCCCAGCCTTGAGGTTCGATCCAGTTCGTTCTAAAGGTGTATGACAATTTTTGAACTTTACAGTCTCAAAAGCGCGCAACTGTTGGAAAACAAGTATTCAAGCAAAAGAAAACTATATTATGATGGATTCAAAGTTTGATTTTGAAGCCCACTTACCGAAATAAATGAGATATTTGCTGTTTAGAGCGACATCAATTAGAGTTAGGGTCAGTAGGAAATTGGTTGCAAATTGGTTGCATAGAGGGAAGTAGTGAAAATCCATAAGGAGAAACTCCGTGAAGGTAGTGGATTCATTTGTAATCATCATTACCACAGCTTTCCACAGTCTTGTAATTCTGTCGATTTTCTGAAAAAAGGATTTTCTCGTACTGAGAATGGAAGAATTGCTGAAGATTCCTGTGGCCGTATATGTCAACAGAACCCGTGGCTGGCCTATCCACTGAGGTAGGCTAACCTCCTGGCTTCGCTGATGAGTACAGCCCCTACTCAGATAATCGCCGGGGGCAGGCGGTCCGCAAACTCGCGCTTTTCTGCAGGCGGTCAGCAGGATTTCGGGGCGTGGCCAAATCTTCAGCGGGCGGTATTTGCGTTTTCTGCAAGCGGGCATCAATACAAAATTTTCTGCAAGCGCTCGTCAAACAATCTCTTTCAGCGAGCGCTGGCCAAACTTTCAGCAGGCGCTCAGACTCTTTTTACGCAGTTCCGGGCGTACGCCGAGAAAAGATGAGACTCTGTGTGGCAGAGGTGCCATCGATGGTTTTATTACCCAAGTTTGGGGTACTTTCTTTCAGCGGAAAGTACCTGAGAGCTGTGCGGTCCTTCAAAAAGGACCGTGCGGCTCTTAATAATTTTGCATGTTCTCGCGGAAAATCCGCGAGAATGCGGCCACTGTGCCGCAACTTATGTATAGAAAAACCGCGATAGATCTTCGAGCGTTCGTCTAAAAATTGGCCAAAATTATTCCAAATTTCTGCAAGCGGACCACAAAAAATCAGCGAACTATTTTTCCGGTGCCCGCTTGCTCAAAATTCGCATGGCCGCTTGCCCCCGGCGATTATCTGAGTAATTACAGCCTCCTTTACAACCCCTCCTCCCACTACCACCCTTACACCCTCCACGTCGGGCGCGCATAACATCACGCTCAACCCTGATTAAAACTATTTTCCCGATGAAAGCACAAACATAGCCACCGCATGACTAACTGAAGGGAAAAGCGATGCAAAATTTTATAATAGTACTTACAGGTTGAATGGTACCCAACTCTGCTAGGAAAACAGAACAGCTTGATTGATTTGGAAGAGCGGGTTACTTTTGGGACAGCTTAATGATATTTATGATCAATTAAGGGTGTGAATGCGGCTAAACTGCAAGAAAGGACGGAGCCGATGGAAGTGACTGAGGCTGTAGAGTCATCTCAGTACTTCTTAGAATTTTCGGAAATTTCACAAACTTCTTACGAGCCGAAAACGGTAAGTAATGTGCATTAACCACATGACATTCGCCTGCAATGCATCGCCGATCTACGCCAACATTCACGGAAAAAGTACTGAACTCACATTACTTACTGCCAGTACAAGGAGATCTATAGTCCTCAAAATCGACTAGTCGCCGATCTACGCCAACATTCACGGAAAAAGTACTGAACTCACATTACTAATGAAGCTAGACATTCGACCTCTCTGCATTCTAAACTTCTTTCTGCATTCTGTCTCTCATGAGACAACAGAGGTATGGTGAGTGATAGCATCGTAGTCTAAATTTCTTGCACGCTTGGTACAAGTGCAGCATTGCATTGTGTGGGAACAAACTATGATTCCTCACCGTTGCAACAATGTATTGATACCGAAATGATTGCGCTTCGCACGTTTGCATGAACTCAAATGCATGATGATTGCTTGACTGCATGCTCAAGCAACAGGGCCCGGTACGCGTTGGCTTGGAGAATTTTTGCAGACAAAGTCCTCTATGAATTCCCGAAAACTTACGAAGTCCCTTTTGACGTAAAAGTCAGTAGGAAAACCCTTGTTCAATCGACATAACAAAACTTTTTTGTGATGCTTCGCCCTGGATCTTATAAAAACGATATCCCCGTTGCTTCCAACCTCAAAAACGAAGTCCAGTTGACTCCGAACCATCTATGCCGGGCCCGTCAAGCAACAGCAGTTCACGAAAAATAATAAAGCATTGTTTTAGTGCATCCGGCAAAGAACATGTGAGGAGTGTGCGCACATCTGCGCGCAACAAATGGCAGCGTTGCAGTCCAAGAAAAAAAGGAGGAATTTGTCGAAACGACGAGCAGTTTTTGGAGATCAAGCACGGATTTTGATTGCACGCATCCACAAGTTCTTCAGGGACATAAGAGAAAGAGTACGAGGCCCCTGCGCGGAGGCGATTTCCAAGGCGCCAAGAGATCTCACTGTCTTAGCATGTGGGGTCTCTCGAAATACCGTCACCAACATACAGCGTGGGCGCTTTGCACCCAATAAGCGCATGAAGCTGTACAACCGAAAAAGTATGAGAAAAGCAGCCTTGAGAAGACATGGAGCGGAGTGGGGCGAAGTAGTCAAACAAGCCATTCACGCAAAACTGAGGAATGAGGATAATGTAACTATAGCCGACCTCCACGCCGAACTGTCCTCGGCACATGAAAATTTCGTCCTTTCACAAACGACCTTGTACAGGCTCGTAAAAGGACTTGGCTTTTCTTTTACGAAGAATACGGGGCTAAAATTTATATTTGAAAGGGCAGACCTGGTGGCGAAGAGGCACGCCTTCTTGTCTGAGATGGCTGCAGCACGACACAGGAATGAATACCTCATCTACATGGATGAGACCTGGGTATTCAGCGGCATGGCGAATAAAAAAGGATGGAATGACAAAACAATTCCCCAATTTGCCCCTCGCTCGTTGTTCCAGAGATACTCCTACGGGAGAACTGTTTGTAAAAACAAGGGTAAGCGGGCCATCGTGATAGCGGCTATGGCGGAAGATGGCATAGTAGATAAAAGCGTCAGAGTGGTCGTTAGCGGAACGCGGAATTTAGAGAGCGATTACCATGCCGACATGAACCACACTCTGTTCGAGAAGTGGTTAGTGGACTCGCTACCACACATGGTGCGACGGGCGGGGAGAAGGACTGTCACTTTGGTAATGGATAACGCTCCGTACCATTGTAGGCAGTTAGAAAAGCTGCCCAGAAGTTCCTCGACTAAAGGACAAATAAAGGACTTCCTGACTAGTAAGGGCATCGAGTTGCCTGACGACGCCACGAAAGAAGATTTGGTGAACGAGGTGACTTACGCATAAAATTGGATAGAAAAAAGTTCAAAGGTTCTCTTCAGCTCCGCTGTTACATCGACTTCAGGGGTGGCGTGACTGCTTTACGCAGTTACGCCACAGAGCAAATATGTAATGACCATGGTGTTAATCTTATAAGATTACCACCATTTCATTGCATGTTTAACCCTATCGAGCTGTGTTGGAGCCAGCTCAAGGCGTTCCTGAATAAGATGGGAAGGACAACAGATAAGATTGAGGTGGTGGGTTTCATAAAGCTATTTAATTCTACGGATGTTGCATCCGCATGACTAGGGTAAGTAAGTTACCACCTAGGTGAGGGAGCGAACTTCTACCTGGCTGGCGAGTGTGACTAGGACCGAAGCAAGTGCATGGTTTCGGGATGCGCAGGCGAAGGAGACCGAGGCTCGTCAGAAGGAGCTACTAGATATGGAGGAAGATGGGTCATCAACAGGGGGAGAAAGCGACTTAGAAGAAACTCTTTCAGAGTTTTCATTATGAACATGTCCCCCCTATTACAATGTCAGCAGCATGGCGTAAAAACATAATCAACAAAGTATAAATAAATAAAAAAAGAAGGAAGAAAAGAATGAAAAATAAACCTTATGTAGACAGAACATACTTGAAAGTAGCTCGATTCCTTGCAAATCTCAATATGAAAGTCGGGTTGTGCAGGCATCTCTGTACTGCATTATTGGTGGCTTCTCGTTTTGATAGCACCCAGGTAGTTGGCTATGTCTGTATTCAGGTTCTGGATTCATGCTTTTCGTCACATACAACAAGGTCCGGTCCACATCAACAAGCGAACTCCTTATCACTGATTGGAGCTTCGTAAACAAGTTTATGAAAACTTGTTCTAAAATCCTACCACAGTGGCTTCCTTCTTAATGCGATGATCTGCCGTATATCCTTGATCAAACTCCATTTTTGGCTAAGGGTGTTAGGCGAAGGGACCTGCAGTGAAAAAGGGCATGATAAATACGACATAGGTAAGCAGATGTCGCACCTAAAACGCATTCCCTTTCGCTTTCCTAGGTTTCTTAGGCTGAATGGCTCGAATCAAGAAACCTAAACATTTCACAGTCAATAACAAGAACATCGCCTTTACAGAACCAATCTTGTAACATAAAAGTTACAAATGATACACCAGGGCGGAGGACAATAGGTCACCAAAAGTGCGCAGTTCCGCCGAATATCTACAACAGATACGCATTCCTATGCAGGCACAGGCTGAGTATCTGCTGCATTGTCCGCCCGGGACCTCACTTTCGGCGACCTAATGGGATCGGCCATACTATTCCTGCTATTCCTACGACTCCTGCGAATCCTGCGATTCCTGTGAGTCCCGCACAGTTTAGACGCCGCTTAAATGAGCGCGTGTTGCGTGAAACAACACGTAACACGCAACACGCGCTCATTTAAGCGGCGTCTAAACTGTGCGGGACTCACAGGAATCGCAGGATTCGCAGGAGTCGTAGGAATAGCAGGAATAGTTCGGCCGATCCCAATGCCCTCCGCCCCCAAAAACAGTACAACATAGGTTATACGGCATAGCACGAATGGGATTTACCTATCACATTCATTCGTTGATCAAATGTTTTCACAGAATCACCTAATAACAACACTTCAAACTGGTGAGCTGTTTCGCCGCTGTCTGTATACCTAAAACCACAAGGATGACAAACGCAGCTCGAAAGGCACACGCACTATCTAAATCTACACACGGCTGCGCAACGCGCCCATCCCCCAAAGCGAATTCTCCGGCGTACAGGATTTTTGCGTTGGGACACGTTAGACAATGTGGACCATGCTTTTGATCAAAGAAATGCGAATGATGTCATTAGTGTTTTCAGGTTGACTTCCATACATGTCCCAGATTTGGGGTGAAGTTCTTCGTATAAATACTTTATCATTATAGCTGAAAGCGAGAACAGCGTAATAAGGCCTCAGTTTTCTTTTTCTTCGATAAAATGAACTTCGCTGGTGCTGACAAACATATTTCACTCTACCTGCGGTCTGTTTAGATTTGAAAGATTCACGATAAGTAAAAATCGATTTTACACTGACAAAAAAGTGAATACCTGCGAAGATTGTGATGATTCGGTCTCGGAGTCCTCAGGTAATTCGAGCAACATGTCATCGTCACTACACACATCATAAACTTCGGATTCGTAATGTTTCTTGGCTGAGCGTAACAGATTACTACGTCGTTTATTATCCTGTATACGCATTTCTCCCATGTTGCTAACATCGTCGTTTCTTGGCCCACCGGCTTTTTTGTGAGCAGATGGATCGCAAACTTTGTCTACAACCTAAATAGTTGTAAGCTTAGAAGGCAATCGATATCATTGATTGAATATGAAAAAGATGAGTTTGCTGAGGCTAGCCAACTATAAACTTGTTTTCTGACGCAATTAGTTATGCAGACAGATGCTTACTGCTAATGATAAAGTTATTTTGTGCTGCTTTCTACAAAAATGACAAATTTCAAAATAAACTTGAGACTATGGAGCCTTTCGAATTAGGAAAAATTCTGCACAAACAAGAACTGGAACAACACAGTTCCGATATAGACAAGAAACATAATAGCTGCTCAACAAAAACAAACCGTGAGAATTGTAGCATTAAAGAATCATCGGTGGCATCCTCATAATCAAGAGGCTCAAAATCATCAGCGGTCAGTTCTATTTCTTCAACAACGGCGTCGTCCATCTGCGATAGTTCATGTACACTGATCAACAAAATAAAAGTAAGAACTTGAAGTCATGATGAGACTGATTACTATTAGATACTATGAAATACTGAACAAGAAATTTGTGATTGAGAAATGAAGCATACACTGCAATGCTTCCGTTCGACAGAGTTCTGTTATACTGAAATCAATGAGGTTAAACTAATGAATCAGTTGAATAGTGTTCCTCTCCGAGCTGCATTTGTGTTAGTTTCATCTGCGTCTGAATGGTAAATGAATTAGTACTTTTTGAATTTTGTAAATCGCACTTACTCTAAATCATTGCTCTTCTAGATTAGAAGGTTTAATTGCTATCGCTAATACAGTCGGCTCGAACAAAATACAATGCAATTGAGCCTGAAATTCTTGTCGATATCTACTGCACTGCAGGATTATTCAACATTTTATACCTTCAACTTGTGATAATCGGGATCTATCAGAACATTCGGTTGTAGCTGTAAATTGAGACGATCATGAACCTAGAAAGTTTATATTAGGTTGTTACATAAGTCTTGTTACACTTTGATTTCTTACGAAAATAAGCCGTAAACTTCGAAACTTTAATAGGGCTCCAGGGCACCATTCGATAGAGCAAAGCAAGCCCTACAAGTTGGTATGCAAAAGTTCGCACCAGCTCCAAATCACCGTAAGTTTGCATCCAGAATCTGAGTGGTACTGAAGGCTTGAAAATTGGGAAAAATTCATATCTTCGTTCAAATAAATCCTACGGATCTCCAAGTTGCTCATGTAGATTACACACCACATCAGACACTCATATATACCGTTGCTGTATTTTTTCCTCATCTAGAAATGGAGAAAAAGGAAATTTTCTTGTTTTTACAAAAACGGAGCTATGTTGTTTCTATTCATTTACCTATGTACTACAAGCTCTTAGAAGTATAACCGTAAATTTTCAGCTTTCCAGAAGCCCTAGTTTGCGGAAAATACCGAATTTAGCACTGAACACCCGAGTGAAAAAAGTCAAATTCGGTATTTTTCGAAAACTAGGGCTTCTGGAAAGCTGAAAATTTACGATTATACTTCTAAGGGCTTGTAGTATACAGCTACATGAATAAAAAAAGCATAGTTCCGTTTTTGTAAAAACAAAAAAAATTTCTTCCTCTCAATTTCTAGATGAGGAAAAAATACAGAATTGGTGCACATGAGTGTTTGATATAGTGTGCAATTCTTTTGAGCAAGTTGGAGTTCCGTAGGATTTATCTGAACGAAGATATGAATTTTTCGCGATTTTCGAGCCTTCAATACGATTCAGATTTTGGGCGCAAACTTATAGTGGGTCAAAGCTGGTGCGAACTTTTGCGGACCTTCTTGTAGAGCTTGCTTTGCTCTATCGAATGGTACCCCGGAGTCCTATAAAGATTATGAGGTGCATGACTTATCGCCGTAAGAAGTTGAAGTGTAACAAGACTTATGTAACAACCTAATATTATACGATGAAAGGTAGCAAAGGCATGCAATCTCACCTTATATATTCGAATGAGATCTGCATCAGGCATGAGGATGAGATCAGCAAGCCCAAAATCGTTAGGGCAGAAGTATTTGGCGCCTCCAGCTGTTAGCGACGGACGGACGCGCTAGAATGGCAAAAGCTACTTCCAAACCCTCCCAAAAAAGTCAAATAAACTTGGGAGATGCGACAGGATGTGGCGATCGTAAATGTAGTGGGCAGTGTTGCGCAAAAAGATGACGAAACAGCCGAGAGAGAGTCAATCAATAAAGTAGATGCGCAGTTGGCAATGGGCCAGGGATACGCAGCCAACGCGTCGCGTAGCCTGAGCGGCACGGTGCGCGGCGGATGAACGATTTTCGGGATACGGTAGGAAAGCCCAATGCGTATTGACCACGACTGTACATCCGCGGCGATGATCGAGGAAAAGGTGAAAAATTATGAAAAAAATTGTGTGGAAGAGAAAAGTTCAAAGTGTTTCTTGATTTCAGGTTGCTCACAACCTGGGAGCACGCTGAGGTTGCGTGGGACCAAACAAGGTCAAGAATCTTCACAATTCTTCCCCTTCCTCACATAAATTTCCAGATTTTTTACATAAATATATTTTTCAGAGCATCTACCTATGAGTACTAACCTTAACCCAAGTTTTGTCCCCTATGCTTTCTTACGGCTCTTGATGATATATAAAAATAGCTTTTTTGCATTTCTTTCTAAACTTTGTTTTATTTCTAGTATTTTCTTCACTATTCCCTTTTTTTCGTCGCAGATCATCAGAGGAGCTTCTACAAATACTACAAAAGGTATCTCGTAATTTTCTGCAAAGCCAAGAGGAACTTCTTTTTTATTCCTTATATGTCACCTCGTGCTGGGCCCTGGTCCACCATGCACAAGTACGAGCCGGTTCCGATAAGGGTCCTTCAAAGCGCGTCAAACGGGTTCACACGGCTTTTGGCACGCAAAACTAGGTGTAACTAGCATACCGCTATGTAGATGGGTAGTGGGAAGTTAGGACTATTTGTGAAGAATTACGAAAAAATTGTGTGAATTGGAGGCGTGTAAACCTTTTTCAGAGTTAGGTGGCTTTCAAGCCACCTGGAAAGCCACTTGAGGTGGCTTGGGAAAGAGAAAGTCATAAATTCCCTCCTCACATTTCTTTTCACTTTCTTTACGTAATTCTCATCTACATCCCAAACACTACAAATCGTTTCCTAAACCAAACCCTTCCTCTCCGCTTAGTTACAGCTCCTTGAAATTTTGAATGGCAACACTGCTCCAAGCGCATAGTGCTGCGCGCTGGAAACAATTTATCGTCAATCCAGAGAATGCGAATATCATCGCGTTTGTTTGATGCTTCTTTGACGTTTTTTATTTTGCTTGATTCCGTTCCGTTTCATGTGTTTTCTCGTGTAATATCTCATGGCGGATGCCGTACTCATTGTGCAACTGCAAAAAACGAAGTCAAAGGCGACTTCGTTTCTTGCAGTCCTCGTGCCGAACCCTGAGTAGGGGTAAATAGTATAGAAGAACTGTGCGCCGAATTATAGCAGTACGGTTCAAAACAAGATTACTTCTACATAAAATATCCATCATGTTTTTATAATGCTAAATTCCGTGCTAGTCGTTAATGTTCATGCTGACTCATTTGCCACAGAAAAGATTAAAGGCACTTTCCACCCTAAGTTGACAGTTTTGAGCCTTTGTCAGCATATAATAGTAGGGCCCTCTATCAATCCAACGCCCAAGTCGCGGCACAAAATGCCGCTTCGGAAACGAGAAAATCGCATCGGAATAGCAAAGATGCACGAGTACCTTCATCCATGCCCCCCCCCCCCCTCCCCATCCATGCCCGCCCATTTGTGCTCGCCCAGCCAATCACCGTTCCGGAAAGCCGGCCTGTAGGTTCTCCGAAACGGAAATTGTTGGAGTTTTCGCGCATTCTCGACTTCACATTTGGAATCAGGGGCATAAGAAGGCCCTGAAACGACGAAAACATGAAAGTCGAAAATCTGCGTGGACGGTGCCTTCAAGGCAGCCGAACTACGCACAGTCCGTGGTCCGAAATGCTTATAGATGTTAACGCAATGTAACTTCTTTGCCGTTAGTCTTCAAAAAAGGTTGCGACATGTAGTGAATGGAGAACAGACACCTATAGACTAAGATAGAGCGGGTTTAAAGGCAGCGTCCGGGCAGATACGAAAATTTAGAGTACAGGGGCGCTCGTCCTGGTAAGGCTCTTGCCCAACTGGCAATGCACCTTGCTTCTGAGGCGAGAAATCCGCTTCAGAAGTGGCGAATAGAACGCCCCAGCGACCGAGACGAGTTAGTTCGATAAGCCAGAGTGCGCATACCGCACACAGTCAAGACGTAGGTATCCCACAAAGACTCTGCGTCTCAACCATGGCGGCAAAGGACAAAATTCAAACCAAGGGCTTTTGGGAAAGCACGTTTTCGGCGTTTTCGTGCCCTCCAAGCTGCATTTTCAGAACCAGCGGGAGGAATAAGCCCAGATAAACAAAAAATTCCATTCGAAATTTTGCCCGGATGCTGCCTTTAAGTTTCTCAAAATCTTTGAGTTTTGCTCAAAGTGAAAAGCTGAGTTGCTTTTTTTTCGTGTCTTCAGAAGCAGTGCATGAAAATATTGGAGGAAGCTACATTCGTATAAACGTAAAACGTTCTGCAGCCAACTTCCATCTTTTCTAATGATAAACTACTTAAAAATGCTTTCACAACTTTCACTGCCAGGTAGAGGTTTGAATAGGATGTATTTCTCGAAAACATAAAACTTGGTGATTGTGTTCCTTTAGACTAGCAAGTTGTTACTTTCATGCAGGTTCGGCCTACAGTAGAACATACTGAAACTACACAACTACTCTGACTAATGTGATCACTTTACTGCGGATATCGGAACATTTGTACGCAAATTCGGTGCTTATTCTTCGGTCACACTATAGCATCGAAAGTCGATGTATCTGTGCTTCCTGAACAAATTCTATAAAGTTTTGTGAATGCAGATTTGACTATTCGGCTGTTTCTCTACTGGAATGTACCAAGATTCTGGTGGTCCTCAAAAAAGTGATCCTCAAAGACATGTCTTCTGTGCCTTTAACTATGAAAGGAACAGACCTTGACCACAAAAAAACGTAAGTGATATCAATTAAACGCAAAGTTATTCAAAGACTTTATTGAACGAAATAATACGACTGGAAAAAATAGAACAACAACGACCGGAACAAAACACATTCACCGAGTTGCACAGTTGGATAGCATTCAAAGGCGTATCAGTCGGCTTACTGTCAATTCCGGCTAAGTCGTAATGGACGCAAAACCTAAAAGATAATGGACAACGTTTGACTCTCTTTTATTAGGTTGATGCATAATTCCTGCACCAAAATAGGTACATACCGCAATAATCCGGAATAATTTTTATCCCAAATAGGATTTGATATATCACTGGTTAGAGCAAACCTAGCACTACAAGATAGTCCTTGAAGTTTTGCAGCGCTTTGATTCAAG